GAGCGAGGTCCAGAATGGTGGCATGTTTTCGTATGTTCCATTGGCGGATTTCTGACTTACAACGATTCCGCATTTTACGAAATGCCTTTTACGAAATGCATTTTACGAAATACATAATAACACTATGTTTGGAAAACATGTGAACAGCAGGCTTCTGAATGTTGATGTAAAAAAACACGGGGAAAAATCCGTCCCTCAAAGCCAAAAGGCCCGAGCAAACCGGGTCCGCACTGGGCGAACAAAAAACCCTGCAAGCGAAAACCATCCCTAGAAACCACGAAGACAGGAAGCAGACGGTATTGTCCCAGAGGCCCATTTGGAGCCTGAGACTCAAACCCGGCGCACAACTATTAAGTCTGCCAGCCTCCTGATCACTCAACTTTCGGCTCCTCACCCTCGGAGGCAGCAGAGTCAGTGTTGAAATGCTTGTCTACAAAATGCCTCAGCCTTTTCAACAAACTCGGCGATGATAAACAGTCAGCTTGCCTTGAAAAACCGTCTATAATCGCACTCACAGCGACCTGACTCACACCGGATGTCTCTGAAACGATCCCGATAGACGATTACTTTATTTTTCGAGCTGACTCAAAATGAGGGGAGCTGGTGGGGTTACTTACATGCGGCCAACCCCACTTCTCCTCTCTGACACCACTCCTGCACCTTTCTGCGGTGCACTGTGAGTCCGAATTTGGCTGCGCAGGTCCGATTCTCTTCTCTCCTGTGTGATCTACCGTAGCCCCTCGTGCCCCCTGAAGATGACCAATTCCCTATACGAACCCTTGAGCAACTCTCCTCCAACTACCACTTCACTCATCTCCTGCTGGTAGGTGACTTCAGCACTCCAAAGTTTTCCTGGATGGAGCTCCAGCGCATCGAATCAAGCAGACTTCTTGCAGCGGCGCTGATTGAAGTCGTTCATTAGAGCGCTTGGATTCGACATGTCGTTGCACCTACCAGATAATAATAACAATAATAATAATAATGCATATTCTCGACTTGTGGGTGGCATACCGTCTGGCCTGATCTTGCGTTTACAGTCAGGCCAGGGTATGATGAAGGGATTTGCGGGTAGTTGAGATTGTGCGAAAAGGGGACAATGTAATAAACAGTGGGAGGTACGCGATTAAATAATAATAATGTTTCTTTTGCAACTTTTAGGGAACTATTGCCATGAGGTCCGACTAATTCAAAGACTCAGTCGGCTGACGTGAACTAAAACTGGAAAACCATCGCTGGCCATGAGTGACCTTGGGCGGTTGGGTAAATGGCCGAAGTCATAACGAGCAAAAGCGGGGGTGGAGATGGGTTAATTCGAATTGGGGTAACACGGCAAGTTCAGTCTCAAAAATATGGTGCAATCTGAGAACAAGCGGACTCATTGGTTGCACTTTTGTTGGGAAGTCAAGTGAAGGGGTGAGGTTGGATGGGGACGCAGACGTGGTTGAATTCGATACCGCGCAGGCCAACTACCAACCCTCCTGGATTTGTTCATCACCGACGAAAAACAACCCGTTGATCAGGTAACAATTAACGCTCCATTGGGACATAGCGACCACTGTTTGCTGACCTTTGATTGGGCCAGAAATCCCGAACCTCAAACGTGGCTTCGAGACTTCTGCCGCGCAGACTTCGCAAGAATGCGCACCTTTCTTGAACAAGCTAAACTGGGACTAGCTTCGGTGGAAGAATTATATGGGGCTATTGTCCAAAAAGTTCACGAGGCTGACGCGATGTTCATCCTAAGAAAACCAGCACGCACTGGGATGAGCTGCAGGCTGCCAAAGAGGATTCGGCGACTTCTGGAAAAAAGGTCCCAACTCTTTTTCGAAACGCCGATACAGAGGACGCAGAAGACGAGCTGGCATTTCGTAAAATGCGGAACCGCTGTACATCAGAAATCCGTCAATGGAACATAGAAAAACGAGCTACTTTCCTAGACCTCACTCGGAAAAACAAAAACGTACGGTTGAGATACATGAGACATCGCCGCAGAAACAAGCCATCCGAGTTCTTCTTGACGGATAGGCACGCAGAACTGACGAGTGACCCAACGGCGGTATCTGAGGTTTACAGAGAACACTCTGTAGGTCTATATTTAGCCTCAGCGTCCTCGTCACTTTCACCCTTGTCAAGGCGTAACTACGAACAGCCTCTAACCGACTTGGTCTTCACGGTGGGGGACATTCGTCAACCCTTGCGCAAGATCAACCCATTTTGCGCGTTGGGGCCGGACGAGATTCATCCAAAGATCGTCTACACCGAAAAACCATTTATACCTGGTGTTTCTCCAGTCGCTTGACAAAGGTCGCCATCCCTCTGCTTGAAAGGAAGCGATTGTCACACCAATCTACAAAAACTGATGACCGACCATCGCCTGGCAGCTACAGGCCTATAAGCCTCCCCAGCTTGCCGTGCAAGGTGATGGAACGCATTCTGAAGTGAGCTATCCTACATCACCTTACTTCCAGCAGCTCGATATCTCCAGCTCAACACGAGTTTCTTCCATACCGTTCTTACGTGACAAACATTCTCGTGCTTATGGACGGCTTAACCCAAGCCAAGGACGAAAGACTCATATCGGATGCCATATTTTTCGACTTATCAAAAGCACCTGATAGGGTCTCACACGTCCCCCTGCTCCACAAACTCGAGTCCTACGAGATTCAAGGAAAATTCCTTCGCTGGATCGAGGCGTTCCTATCAGTCAGATCATTCAGAGTGAGAATAGGCTCGACTTACTCTTCTCCAGCGCTGGTTTCCACTGGAGTTCCTCAAGGTCCCGTCCTGAGACAACTGTTGTTTCTCATCTACGTGAACGACCTTCCAGTTGTTCTTGCGAGCCCGTGTCACTTTTTGCGCAAGATCGATCCAGGAAACTTGGGCAAAAGCCTCGATTCTGTGCATCAATCCGTGAATCCCTGAATCCGTGAACTAACCCCATGCGATGGCATGGTGAGCAGATTTTTAAGCTCAATTCACACAGCTTTATGAGGAAATAATTTTTCTCATTTCGGGTAGTCGGTGCGTGGAATAACCTTCTCCGATGGCCATTCGCACCGCACCGGGTACTCAGAACATAGCACATTCGGACGCCTTTTATGTGAATCCTCGCACTTGCAATATCACTGCCCTGCACTGAGATCGGTAGGAGCAGCGGCACACCCTTCTTTACTTGTGCCATTCACGTGAACGAAATCTAGTGAAAGATTTGATCCTTTGTATTACTCCATAAAGCCGTAGTTATGTCACTCGAGTTTTCGAAAATCACATGTTTGTCTTAGCTTCTTGCTACAATGAGTGTGTGTGCTTTTCGCCCTGGTCAAATCACACGCCGGGCCGTTCGTTTACACTTCATGGCCTTGCAAAGGAGGATGACCGTGCACCAGTAGTGGACGCCACAAAATCAGGGACATTCAAGAGCTAATTTCAGTTCCGAACGGCTGAGTGAATATCAACCTACACAGAGGACACCCTGACAAAGTCCGTATTGATGAACTCCCTGCGGGTCACTGTGGTGCTAACAGCAATGGCCGTGCGTAGTAGAACAAGAAAATGGGTTTGGTCACATAATTTTGGTAATCCACTCAATCTATCGGTCCAAAAAATAACATGGGACGATGTGTACATTTCGATTTCCTTGGGACACTTGCCTCTCCTTAGACGTTCATGTTTTGGAAATGCGCAAGCGACGCGTCCGTGAAGCGTCTGACCCGACGTAAAATTCGTTGATGTAGTAAAAAAGGGAGGATGGAGGCTTTCCACTTCTCTGTTTGCTTCGGAGACAAGTTCTTTTTATCCCTTTGTTGGCCATGCGACTTTAAGGAAACAAATCATCAGTTCCTTTCTGGGGCTTCAGATGCGAATGAATGGCTGCTCACAGTCTGAAAAACGTTTTTTCACCACTCTCGTGAAGCTAAACAATCTCAGGCAGCCTCGCGGCTAAATAGGACAAGGCCGAGGGACTTGCACCGTCTCTGTGATTGCGCAGGACTAAAGAGATCTATTCTGGTACATGCGGGATGTCTTACAAACGGCAAACCGACTCCCAATAATATGGTTTATTCCGGCCGTTGGACCTTCTAGAATGTTTGTCCGAATAGAAGCCTGAAGGCAGGGTGTGGAGAAAAAGAATTTCCGGCTGACGCTCATCCCATCAAAAGGGAAAAATATGAAAATTTGGCACTACCTTGGGTGACTGTACTTACGGCAGCTTCATGTCCGGGCTCCATCTTGGCTCGGTTATGATTGGCATAACATGACTAGCGAAGACGACCTGGACTGGGCAGCCCAGGTCAAGTAAAGCGGTATGGCTCGAAAGATCGGTCGCTAGGCCAAGGTTTGAAAATACAACGCACAGTAGCATAGGATAACCCCTCGGACTTTGAGACCGAATACTATGCGAAATCTGTGAGTCACTCTGAGCGACAGTTAGAACGTGGTGCCATGTTGTCTGACAGTGACATAATAATGAAGCCTGCCAGTTGAGTTTGGTGATGCCGGCGTGAATATCATATAGGAGGAGCCTCCGATAAACTTAATCTCTTCAAGACTATTTACTTATCGAGTTAGAAGATAGCGTATGAGTAGCACGTTTTTGTGAATCATTCTTTGAGGCGCTCAGGAACGTAGGTTAACGCCATTTGATAAGTAAAGATAACAGAATATTGGTTCTTGGGTAAAAAACGCCCATCGCCCAAGATGACTGCAAGAACATCACGAGAGATCACGATTTTCTCTGATTCTGTAGGTGAAATCATCTTCAAAATAAAATCTGCGACTGTGGACTTCCGCCAACCTATTTACAGCAACGTCCATGGTGTCCGTCGATATGTTGGGTGGTGCCCCGCATTCGAGGTGGTAAAGCAGGAGGATAGAGGCAACGACGTCTACGGCTTTGCGGATGCTTCCACCGCACGACTTGGCTGCACCCGCATGACTCGTGGACATACCAAGCTGCCTACTTAAAAAATTTAAGGGTGTATTCGGTAACCAGGATTGGGTCATATTCCAGAAAAGCTGTTGAAATACGCGACTGAGAGTGATACTGAAACCTAGGATGGTCCAGGGACGCATTTCCTGGTTTAATAGACTCTTTTTTAGTAGTAAAACAAAAAATGAACATAGACCAATTGAACATACCATAATACACCACAACGCATTTGAGAGTTACAAAATCTTTACAGCAAAAGCGCTATCTCTGTGTCTAGTCTTTAGGACGACCACTGGCGTTCTCCAGACGGTTATTCGTCACATAACCAACGTGAATGACTTCGAATTGTGCGTGTACAGCCCCTTTCCGGGTGACATACAACCAGTGGGCCCTAAGGTGGGAGAAAAATCGTGGGTCCGTACGGCGCGGTAGGTGCAGATGATGCCCGAATCTGCGTTCGTATTATATCAAAAACCAATTGTACGACATTGTCCAGGCAAACCATTCGGTGGAATATATGCTGGCTGATTGCGGAATGCCTCTGTGACCAAAAATACGCCATTGCCGAACTCGACTCGCGCGGCACGCATTTGCGCCGCCAACTTGCCCTGATGAAGATCTTAACAGGATACCGCTCGTCCATCATTTCCTAGAGTGTGCCGAACAGTTTATGCATAGGGGCTGTAACGTTGGAACGGTATCTTTGAGTGACGCGTAATACCAGAACCTACGGGTAGGCAAAACAAAGTCGGAGCTGGGTTTCTATACGGTACTATTAGGGTAAGAGAAATTCACAATTTATTCAAACCCCGACAGTAGATACGCGTCCAAAACAAAATGTCCGCTTGGACTACAAAAGTACAAAGCAAGGGGGCAAACAGGCTCCCACGTGCGACAGTCACACGTGCAAAGTCAGATACAAATGGCCGGACGACCTCAAATGGGTGAAGTGGTAGGGACAAACAAACGTCAGTTCATATATCCACACTAAACACAAAAGTGGGGCGGAAGTTCCAAATGAGGACAGAATAAACGTGGGGAATTTCATTGTCAATATAACGGATGATACAGGGGCAGACTGTTCGCTCTCCACGAACGCATACGAACCGTACACCGGATACACATGCCGTCTGTTATCAGGAAGGTATACAGCTTTATCTATAAGTCGAATGTTAGGTGATTTAAAAGACCTACCCCGAATTGTTGGTCACATGCGTTCCGTTTGCGCTTACTGAACCTGGATAGCGTCAATGCAGTGTTGTCTGCTGCCATCTGGAGAAGCATATGTGGCCATATTGACCTTCCTCTGACTGCCTCACATTCACGCGTCTTGTCGCCCGAAGTTTTGCCAGGCATATACTCTGCCAAAATAGAACCCAACTAGGCGGCACCTACTCAACAGAGCCGGTCAACAATTCTGGCGGTAGCTGTGTATATCCCGCGTGGTAAGGACCTTGCCGAATTCATCGGCCACAAACTGGCGCATTTCACAAGACGATATTCCATACTTCAGCAGGGCCGCGAGGGCGCCCAACCCGTCTTCGGTTAGCCGCCGGTTATCTGGAAGCTGACCGTACAAAAAGCTAGACAAATTATGGTTGTGTTCAAGATAATATATGGTGACTGCAGAATAGTTCCTTTGCCTCCTTTGTAAAACCACGCTTGACGGCCGGTGCTTCCTGTAGTGTTTTATATCGGAAAACATAGTCATCTTACTGGCTTTTCCGGATTCCTCGACTTTTCGTCTTGCATGCCGCGTGCTGGCTTTGTAGTACATCCATTCGTAATGCGAAACAGCGTTGGTGCTTCGATTACTGGATGAACGCGCAAATAACACATAGTTATCCTTCATGTATTCATTCAAAAACCTTTCCAAAAGCTCTGAAGAATGAGAACCATATGGCCACAAAATTTCTCAACAAACGCGTATGAAGCTAATTTGGAAGCCACGGCAAAGCAATTTTAAAGTCAAATATCTGACAAGAGGTTCAAAAGGGGATTAATTAAAATAAATGCAAAAAATGATGGCGAATTAGAATGATTTTTTGTCTGAGAACACATACAACAAAATACATTTTGATGTAGAAATTTCTACTTCGCCTGCAAAGGTTCTGCAAAAGAGCATTGTGTTTCCAAGGCGTGGCTGGCTCAGATATGGCTTCCGGTATATCTGTTAAGAAATTTGGGACTGAACGGTTTTTCATCTTTTTGGGTAATAACAATAATAATGTTTACTTGTGAAGGCGTCAAATAGAAGCCGAGAAATCCGAAGAAGCTTGTGGGCCGAGCGCATTCACTAATGACAAACGGTACAAGACCCACCTAGCTGTCCAGTGCGGTTTATTCTGAATAGACATGGTACTCAGCTCGCAGTCATTTTTTATTATCATGAACACAGTCATAAGGTCTTCAAGTTTTTTTTACGATTGACCACTGATAAATCGACGAATAACGGGATATGATTTGGGCACTATCGTGGCCCTGCTGACGTGCGGGACGCCGACGTGTGAACTGTGGCAGTATTTTGATGATGAACTCGACAAGATTTTTACCACTCAGGACATACAGAACTACCGCTGTGCGTGTCAACTATCTTCGTTTCGTAAATGATGAATAATTGGATTTCGTTTTGGCGGATGATATGCCTACAATCCTGACAAGCGAGTCCAGTCTATTGTTGGTGTTGCAGTCCGGGGTGGTGCGCTCAGCCAAATATGGTCCATCAGATAGCAGCAATAGAGCTTTTCCGACGCTTTCTCAACGTAGCAAATGTCCTTGTAATACACGCAACAGATTGATTTGTGTGATTTTTTCTGAAGTAACTAATATCTGATCCGTGGATTCACACTGTACACCTTCCTGATCACAGATGACGTGTGTACCGGACATTCAGCTATTCATGTCTTTGTGAGAAGAAAACATCTTGTTCCTGGCTTGGCTTGTTCAAAGAGATGCTGGGCAAACAGTATCGGTCGGGGTACTTTGTCATGGAAAGATCAACGGCACAAATGCGGAAGGCGAGAGTAGCGTTCGGTTGCGACATCATGTTGTGCTATTCCCATATTTGCAAAGCCATCATGGCGGACCTACGTATCATATAACATTTATATATGTTGTTCATAGACACTGGAAGTAACCCAATCTATGCTGTGGCTTTCTAGCTTTCATGATACTAACACCCAGTTTTCGACAATGCCCGTGGTTGATGCGGTCCATTACTCGTCTGCCACTTCATACCCCACTTATTGCATATTACCCGCAGATGGGCTGCGCACATACGATCCGACATGGTCCGCTTTAGTAATGTGACCAATAACCGTCTGAGGGATGCAGACGGACGCCTGAATACCGCGTGCATCATTTGGACACACTAAAGCATGCCGTACAAAAGGGGATCCGGTAGGTTTAGTTGCCCATGAGAAGACATAACACAAACGTCATATCATTGCGACCGGAGGAAAATCCCAGAAAGCGACGGCTACGCTCTAAACATTGTCCATCAAATCACTATGTAAGCATCTTCCCTCGTTTTAGGACCGCAGCCCCCAAGGCTGCATTACCACCGTTTCGGGATTAACACAGTGAGGTAAATATACGCTTATAACTGAGTTACAGTTATATATATGCAGATACTCAAGTACCGTCAGACTGTTGTCACATGTGCCAGCAAATGCGCGTGCTTCTTCTACCAGGCGATGTGACCTCCCTCTATCTGTTCTATCTTTTCGGCGACCAGGTTTTCCGGGACAGTAAGGCATTCAGAGATGTTTTTTACGATGCTTCTCCATCCACCATTAGTGTTCATTCAATTGGTCTACCAGGGCAACGTATACCTTCTACACTTGCTTGCGAGTACCGCCATCTTTCGATGGTCTACGTAAATAACTTTACAGAGTGGTTGATAAACCTTAGGTCCTGAAACTCGTAAATACAGCAATCGTCGTTGAGCAGTGGATTGTTCAAGGGAAATTTTATTGCACCGGGGCTTGACGTCTGACTGGAAATCTTTATCATAAAGGAAGTTATTTACATGGTTGCTGAAAACTCCTCGACTGCCAAAGACCGATGTTGCCGTTCTTGAGACTCATCAGGTAGGCGCAGTCCGCGGGTTTCCGTCAATGGTAGGCGTTATGATTGGCATTATTATCATTATTATTATTATTATTATTATTATTATTATTATTATTATTATAACCTACTATGTCCATCTCTAACCGCAAACTATCTGGCAACATCTCGGGGCTGGATATTCAAAAGTTTGTATGTTTCGGAATTCGCAATAATGAACTCTACCGTCGGTTAGCGGGACCGGAATAATTCCACAGTGCTAGCAAGCGGCGTACGAAAAAAAACTTAACGTACTAGCATAGGTCGTTTTCATCTTTAAGCCTTATGTCCCCCAAAACTAATATGGGTTACCCAAATACACTGTATGTGTCTACGGCCGCGATTACTGGAAGCGGGTATCCTTGAGGTCAGAAAACACAAGATTCGGCATCACCCCGGTTAAGGAGAAGATGCAAGACAAAAATTGGCAACAAGGTGACACTACCATAGATTTTGAGTCTGCGAATACATTGTAGACTCTCGCAGGTCGCATGAAGTATTACAGCTGCAGAAATTCTTCTATTGTGAGCGATTAATGTTTAACCGCAAGTCGCCAAATCCTGCTTCATTGGAAAGTGTATTCCGACTTGAGGCGATCGACGGCCCTGAAGGTTCATTCACTAAAACAAATCAACCATTCCAACAATTTGCAGGGAAACGCATAATACATTCTCAACTACAAAGTGGTCACCCTGAAAACATTGTATTTATTGAGAATCGATCTAATTCGGTTAATACTGAAAGGCTAATGTGCCTGTTTTTGAAATGCGTAATGACATAGTTTATCAACTCCCCACATGAGTGGAAATTTTTTTCGGTGCTGATAGATTCGGATACACGAGTTGTTTGCAGATCACGCGCAACAGGTGGGCGCACAGCCAATCAGCTTGTACTAATTTACACACCTGGA